ATATAACCAATTAAAAAGAAGGAAAAAAAAGTAATGCAGAAATGTTGGCCTGGTGAGAAGTATGTGCAGGATGTTCTCAGTACTTGGTCACAGTATTTGGGTCTTTTCTCAAGAACACACGTTATTAGTCGTTATTGTAGCGACGCCCCCTGAGGTTTGTCCCTTTTTTATCAAACCACACGTGGCTCCATGGAGGGCAATGGCGTTCTTGTACCGCAATTATACACATTATTAGCTAAAGATGTTTCGAATCCCTCGGGCAATGTAGATTCCTTTTAATTGTATTTAAGTTTCACGGTCGGGTTGAAAAATGTTAATTCATCGAATACTTTGATTCCTGGTCAGATGAGTGTGAATATAATTCCATACTCTCCTCGGCTGGATTCTTGTTCTTGTTTGTATAGAAACGGGGAAGCGATGCTCAGAGGAAACGTGACTCATCGTCGGTTCCCCTCCTGCGCCACGACTCCTTCCTTTCTCCCCCCTCACCCCCCTCACCCAACCTCCTGCCAGCTGCTCTCCGGCGACGCTCAAACCGTACCCACTTCTTTTGGTCCAGACTTTGGGACGAAAGGGACTGAGTTGGACGTCAAAACGATGACTGGAGAGTTTTACGTGAGCGTTGCCCCCCACCCCCACCCCCCCGAGGGCCGTCACGCCACCCCAAACCCGACGGAGAACAATGAACTTCAGGAAGTTGGCTTATCGCTAATCCACCATATCCACAATGACTTCCTCCCCCGCTCCCCCCTTCAGCTTCATTCCCTTTTCCAGCCTGTGTGTGTGTGTGCGCGTTGCACACTCGGCCCTTTTTAATGAAGCTTCTTAAAGTGCGAAGCGCTGATGGCCTCCGGCCGCCCAACCACAACATCTGCATGCGCTGCGTCTCCGTACGATCCGTGGCGGCTGCAGTGGCGTGGGATTGACCCGGCGGTGAGCTCTTTTAGTGGCGAAGGGGGGTGTGTGTGTCCTCGACCGGCCTGTTTGCGTCGGTTAAAGTGAGCTTTGTGGGGTAAATACTGGAAAGAAATGGATTACGGTGCCTGTTCCCCGACAGGCAAACTCTGATGGGGATTATTAGGAGACAGTGAGTGCACTTTAGTTAACAGGCCTGAGTTTTTATGGTTTGATCCAAGAGGTTTTTGCCTCCACCACTTCCCTGTCTATTCCCACTGACGTATTTCAGTGGGTTTGCTGCAGTGCATTTATCCCAAATGGTGTGTTTTCCCGGTTCTGTGGCTCTCCTACAAACTGTTCTGCAGCGCCACGTATATTCTGCATTTTAGATTGTGAAACAAAAAGCGTGTTGCGTCCCATGGGTAAGGTTTACTTCACAGCGATTCAATAATGGACGAGGAGATCCATGTATTATGAATGAATAAACAAAGCACCCTGGCACACGAGAGCTGTCTGTTGCATAAAAAAAACGTTTATTCAGGAATCTACTATTCCAACCCCGGCGAAAAGAAAACACACTCTGCTTTGTCTTTCCGCAAAATCCTACGGCGGACTTTCTAATGGCACAGCTTCCGTCCCGCCAAATCCTTTTGTTTCCAAGGACATCATGCGACTGCGCCTTCCACACATCCCACAAGTCATCGCTGTTAGGTGGGAGGCCCAACATCCCAGTCAGAGACCCGACGTGAGCGGAATGCAGCGAGTTGACTGACTGACTGATTTGTTGCTTCGGCACTTGGGCAGCCTTGAATAGTTTGGGGGGGGGTGAGTTTAGTTTATACGGGATAGTTTTTTGTGTGGGTTGTAATATAAATTGCGTGTTTGCAAGTGGCCGCTCACAACCTGAAAGACAACCTGAAGTCAATGCGGATGGAAACAGAATCCACATTCTTTAGAACCCACAAGCTTTAATTTGATCTACTTGTGCAAACCTGTATTTGTCCTGTTGATGAGCAACTGGTTTATGTACTAACACAGTGAAATAAATCCAAAGTGCACTGGAGACTAATTTCGTTCAATTTGAGTTGAATATTCAATAGTAATTATTGATGCTTCATAATTGAGTTGCCTAGTAGTTGCCTTTTTTTTTTTATGTCCATATTACATGGAAGCTTTAAGCGCAGATTATTCCCACTCGATAAATTGCTTACTCTGCATATTTGCCACAGAAATCGTCTTTCATGCAGCCAATTCACCCGCAGCTCGACTTCGCTGTTGCCTTGAACAATTCCGTTCCTGTGTCACGCCCGTCCAGCCTCCCACATGAAATTCCTTCCTTACAAAGCACAGTGTTTGGTCACAGGGAGGGTCTGCTGAATGCTCTATTTTTTTTTAATTCCGCAGGCTGTTTTCTGTTTTCTGTTTTCTTTGCTGTGGAAGCGCGCACAGGAATATGCACAGGAAAGCTTCATTCATGCCGTAACGTGCCGGCGTCTTCTGGCCCCCGTGGCTCCCATTGATAAATCCGCGACTATTACGGACGGTCTTTTTGGTTTACACATGAGCCCGTCGGTCACTCTGGGTTCAGCAACACAAGCAGGTATCATGTCTTGTTGGGACGGCCGATTTGTAGTTGAACCCGGGTCCCAGTTTAACCCTTTATTGTTGGAAATAGCTGCCAGTCTGTGGAACCACTAACATTTACTGGCACGCAAGTGGGGATGGGCTGTTTGCGGGTTAGGGTTGTGTTTTTTACGGCCAAATAAATGGCCTGTAGTTTGCGTTTTAGATGCCATAAAATCCCTTCCCGCAATTGGCAGTTAAATTGGCACACCTTCATAGCAAACAGCAGCCAGAGATGACTGGTGATTGTTTGCTTTCAGTTTAGCTCTGACAGAACCCTACCAGGCGTAAAAAAAAGAGAGGCTGGCTGCGGTTATTGTGCATTACTGTGTGTGCGTGTGTGTGTGTGTGTGTGTGTGTGTGTGTGTGTGTGTGTGTGTATTTATGAATACGAACAAACATTTGCTGCCAAATGGCATCCGATATGATACACTCACGCTAATGCCTCAGATGGGTGGTTGTTTAATCTGTGCAGACAAAAGGACCTACATGTATCCGTCGCTCTCATTAATCATGCAGGATGCATAGATAATGGATGGCGCTCTCGGTGTCCGTAGCCTCTCACTGCTTTACCGGCCAGACGGATCTCTTGACATGACCTACATACAATGGACGGGCCATTGTGCCTCCAGACGCGCATCACCGAACGGGACCCCAAACAAACATGAAGGCTTCTTGGTGGACGAGTGTTTTGTTTTCACCTTCTTACAGTGATTAGTGTAATGCTCTTTTCCCGTTAGTCCTCTTGTGTCTACTTTCTAATCCTTGCTTGTCTTTATCAAATTAGGCCCTTTTAATATACAGTCTACCAATACACGTCCACAAATAGGAGCGGATGTCACATTGCGATCACTCTGGGCTGTGTGCGTATTTGCCTCTTTTGTAAAGCGCAATGGAAAGCCTTAGAAATTAGAAAAAAGGGAGTGGATTGGACATTGAACTGTTTTAAAAATTTTTTTTTTTATCCATGTTCATTTAATGAGAACAAAAGAAAAAGCCATAACGGTGGGGCAGTAAATGCGTGGTGGCAGCTCTCTGGGAGGAGAACGGGCTGCTGGGTAGTTTGCCAGGTAGCGCGTTCTGTAGGAGACATACACACAGTTTTACTCATTTACTCTGGTTCTCTGCGCTTTGCAATTATTAACGTTAATCCACTGGTGGAAGTTTACCTCCTACAAACGCTCCCAAAGGAACATTTAGAAATGTCCCTTTTACATCTTCTCTATTTCTATGTCAATGGCAGAGAGGCATGATTTTGGAAGATGGAGAAATAAATGTGTGTGTGTGTGTGTGATGTCGGAGAGAGACAATTGAACAGCGAGTCAGGCCATGATGGCGGTTTAATCAAATAGAATTAAAGCTAATCAAATTTACAGGGCAACGCGATCCCCTCGGATTAGTACGGCATCGTATGTAGTTCCCCCAGGTCCATATGGTCCAGAGAGAGGAGAGATAACGTGTGAGCAATCAACCAGAGAGGTTTCCAGACGCCGCCCCTCGATGGATCCAATACAATCTCACTATTGTTCAGAGCAAAGCCTCTTTGTCGGGCCATTTGGAGACATTAGGTCACAAAACACAGCTTTACCAGCTTCACAAATGTATTTTCAAACATCCAACATTGCGTTTTGGCTGCCGATATTGGAAAAGGTGGTTTCCATTTTTGTGCAGCCTTTTCTTTTTCCCATTTTGAGCAATACGTAGTAGTAGAGCGAGCAGACCACATGACTCGCATTGCTGGTGCCGCTGGCAACGAGCTGCCATACTCAGACCCGTTATGCTCTCCAGACGCTACGCTGAAGGAACTTGAAGGAAGTTCTGAAGTATCAAGCAATACAATGAATTGTTTAAGTCTACTTTAAGTGCCCCGCCCCCTATTTCCTGTTTACAGCGACCGGTCATGTGATACTCGTTTTTTTTTAGGTTTTCTGGTAAATCATTTCGCAAACGAGGCCGACGTGTGTTCAGTTGTTGTGAACAAAATGTGCCTGAATCTGAAGTGTCATCAGCCAATGTTAAAATGTGCATTCAAATATTTTTCTTTCTCATAGCCGCAAATATTAAAAATGTGGCTTATGATGTTCCCAGTTTGTAAATCTCAAATGGTAGTTGGCCGGGATGCCGCTGAAAGCAAATATTTTGTTTCCAATTCCTCAAAATTGTCGCCAGAAGAAACCCGGCAACTGGGAAGCCTTGAAATATAACTCATCAGAAGCTGTATGTCCCATTTCAACTGGAACTGCTGTCCGTCCTGATAACCACTGTTTTGCTTGTGCTGCTCATCTATATTTATATCAGCAATGCATCTGTGATTTATGTATCTGCACCTTAGGTGACCATGAACCTGCATCCAGGCCACTGATCTTGATGATCTAGGATCCACCTCGTTGTGCACTCACAGTTCTACTCGTCCCGCCAGTCTTTTTTCGTGATTCCTCCTGATCTCATGTGTCTCGTTGTCTTTGTGTCCCTCCGTGTAGGTAAACTTTGTGGCGTGTCAGCTGTTCGCCCTGCTGATGGCTGTGTGGTTTCGGCTGTACCTCCACCCCAGTAAGACCAGTCCCTTCATCAGACACGTGGTGGCCACTCTGCTGGGCTTCTACTTGGCTCTCTTCTGCTTTGGCTGGTGAGTCAATCGCCTGTTTGGGTCGCAGCTCCTCCTTATGCTCCTTCCTTCCTTTCTCACGTCCTCCGAATTTTGTTTTTAAAGTATGTTGTTCGTCTCTTGGCGTCTCTTGGATGTAATGTTATGCAATGAGAGAAAATGTCATGTCGCTTCTGCTTTTACTCAGGGATTCCCCTACATTTCCAGAATACTTCTCCACAAGCCCTGTGGTATTCCTGTATTCCAGCTAAATCGGAAACAATGGGTTGATTTGTCGGAAAATCGACTTTTGAAAAGCCCATTAAGCGGCTGTGCTAAATCGAAAAAAGGGGGCATCGCGTCCGCTCGGCCAAAATGCTGTGTAACTGCACTGCATAAATATCATTGTTGTATAATGTTGAGACAAAAGGCAGAATCAGAAGAGGCAGTATTAAATGACACAGTTTGACTTTATAACAAGGAATACATATATATAGACTGCTTTAAATGTTGTTAATCATTAACCAATATTCATTTACGCAGTTTGAAACAGCTCACTGATGTTATTCATACGTTTTTCTTTTTCTCCACATTCGGTTGGTCATCTTTAAAATGATTACACGACTGGACCACTTGAAAGGATAGAAGCTATTTTGAAAGAGAAACGAGTTTTAAGTAGGGCAGCAAAAATGATTCTCGTTGACAAATAATCTGCAGAAACTGATATTGTATTTTTAGAAGACTTTAGAAGTCTCCCCATTGAGTTTTCTTTGTCCTGTTCTGCTTTTGTCCTCCTGTCCTCGTCCTGCACCCACTTCCTTGTGCGTAATGTGCCCCTCCCCTCCTCGTCTTCCCTCACCCCGCCCGCTTTCTCTTCATCCTCGCCAAAGCGAATGGGTTGCTCGAGCAGTCGCTGATATCCTATCATGAAGCTATTTCCCTGTAACAACACACTGTACCTCTGGCAGAGTGGCCCTCAAATGGCACTGTGTGTGAGTGTGTGTGTGTGTGTGTGTGTGTGTGTGTTTTTGTTTGATTGGCAAACCTTGGAAACGTCAGCCGCACATCCAGATAGTGGAAATGTGGGGAAAATGCTAACTATGTGAAATGTTACCCGGGTAACCCGGTGATAGGGTTTCATTTTATTGCCTCACCAGACCGGTTTTGCACGTGATGCAGTCAACACTTTGCTGGGGGGTCATGTTATTTGTTTTGGCACCAGAGAGGTGATTGTAGTAGGATTCATTCAAGTCTGTCTTGTGGTTTTAACAAACGGCGTCGCCCCGATGATGCACGTCAGTCATGGTTTAAAAATAAATCCACTTTTAAAGGATGTTGGTCCTCTCCTCATGTATGTGTTTTGATCCAATCCATGAACTACTCCCTGCATCACCTCTTTCTGTAGTGTGAAGGTAAATGTTCACGACGCCTTTCTCATTACCTTCTTTGCTGAATCCATGTGCATCCGAGCAACAAGTATCTCGTGGAGGCGACAGATACATTTAGAGTGGAAACGTCAGCGCTCGGCACAGTCATTTGGATTAAAGGATTATGAAGATCATTTGACAACACATGTGACCACAAAGTGTCACAGGATCGGCGCCACGACTTTACCTCACAGCAAAATAAGTGTTTTCAGTAAATAAGGAACTGAAACAACAGCTGTATTCACTGAGCTGAACAGGTTTTTTGTTTTTTTTTGGGCCAACAAAACAAATATTGCGCAAAATAATCCTTGCGCAGGGAAAGGGACACAATGTCCTGCGCTAAAGCAATTGAAAGAGCATTGGCCCCTTTAAAGGTCTATAAGCAGACATTTAGTGCATGCTCATGTAACATATCTCAAGTTAGATACTAATTACAGAATCACAGTTCAATGTCTGCTTTTACAATACTAAACCGTACAACGATGTAGCGAGTAACACCAGCGGTTCAAAAAGATCGATGCCATTATTTGATAAGCCAGTTAATCGGAGTATTACGCATGCAATATTTGAAGCTTTGGCTTGTTTCTTGGAGGGCACCTGGCTGCGGCCCAAGAGGATCGGCCTCGCAGATGCCGCAGCGCGTTGGTTTATTTTAGGATGTCAGGCGCACAAGCTCTTTTCTGAATGCCACCGGAGAAAACAATGGAAAACATTTCCCCCCCCCCAGTCAGTGGGGACCGTGGACACGCTCCACGGATCCCGTTTGTACGGCAGCAGATGTCCAACTTTTAACGTTTTCATCGTCATCTCTCTCCCCCCATCCTCTCGGATGTCGGTGCGTTGTTAACGGTTCGCTATTCCCTGAGAGGTGCGTTTGATTCCCCCGGCTTGCGCTCCCTTGGCGCCCTCACCCTCTCCCCGCTGACTCGCTACTAACTCATGGCGGCGTCCCGGCTCTCCTGGAGGGCCCGACGTCGGTAGCACTGCACACGGTGCCCTTCAAAGACCCATCTGGTCGCCGCCGCCGCCGAGTTTGTGCGTGCGTGCTTTACAGGAAGCGAGAGTGTGTGCAAGAGTTTGATCAACACACACACACACACACACACAGTCATGCACACGTCGCTGTAATGGTGTTGCGTAAGGAAGCTTACTTAGCGGGTTGCCGCTTCTCACTGTGTGACTTCCGATGACATGTTACTGGTTACAAAGGTCTGGCTCTCACATGGCTGCTGGTGTCGCTGGTTTCATAACGCTTTATAATCACTGTACCGGACGACAAAGCAGGGCGTGTGTGTGGTAATAAAATAAAGATTTACACAGTTTATTGTAAGGAACGGGCGTGTTGGTTAGAAGGAAGTTGTTTTCCACCAAATAACAAAGCAATGTGAAATGTTCAAGGTAATTTCTGACGTCTTTGTCTCCGCAGGTATTCCCTCCATTTTTTGGTGCAGAGCGGTCTGTCCTACAGCGTGATGGTATTTGTTGGCCTGGAGCACATGCACAAGTAAGTGTACACATGAAATGCTGAATTTGATCCAAAAACGTCACGGTTTATTTGGCCCCATGGATCCTGATGAATCCCACGCCACTGTGAAAAAGGCCTCATCATTTCCCACCATAGCGAAACCTCATGGCAAAGGTTATTTCAAAAGCCCGTAAACCTAAAACGTTATCAGAATTGTTTGGATAAGATGTTAAACTGTGACTATCTCATCCCATTTGACAATGAACAATCCTGTATTTGCGTCATCGTCTGTCGTCTGGAGGTTGTCACGGCGTACTGTGTCACGCTGAAGGAGGATTTTGCTGCAGGGCTTTCCATCTGTGACCCAGCTCATTAAGACAAAACACACACACACACACACACACATTGTCTTTCATGTTATTTCTGACCAACGTTCAAGGATGTGCCCCCCCCCCCCCTCCCCACTCCCCTCCCGGGTAGAGCACTTTGAATACTCTAAACACCAATGACACTGGACTTGTTTGTCCACACTCTTAACGCAGCATTTAGACGTTTAGCGGCGACTCCCACCAGAAGTCGCGTTGCCCTTTCCCTGGAGGTTGACCCCTCTGCTCTCAGCGCCACTGTGCTGTTTCTGGCCCTTGCTCCGGTGGATAGATAGGCTGCCAATCCCGAAGGCCCTTCACTCAGTTACCCCCCCACACACACACACACACCTCGGGGGTAGAGAGGCAGGACGCACTGACTTGTTTGTGTTTGCAGAGGGCGGTGAACCCGCTGCCTCAGGTTTTGTATAACAAGTAAACCCATTTTCGCAGCAGAGGGTTGTGATTTAACGGGGGGCGGGGGGTCGTGTGCCGCCGGTGACTCGCAGGTCGACCCGCGGCCTTTTGTGCTGAAACTACACTCGAGCTGGTTGCATAGATATTTCATGGCTTTTGAACATTTGGTTTTTAAAAAAATAAACCATCTATATGCCACTATGACGACTATGGTTATGTGTGGTTTCTTTGATATGAGGGTTTTTACCCCATTTAAACATGTTCACGGCCAAACGTATATGATTTACATGTCTGTCTACTTTACAGCATGAACATAAAGCCTCGTTACTGGAAGCGGCGGAAGGATCGACTATCTCACTGACCGTTTACACTTTAACCTCAGATAACACGTTGCACTACGAGGGGATCCGGGGAACACGGACCAGTGCGCTGTGGCAGGACTGTTGCCCCCCCGCTCAGAGGCCTGACCCTTGGGGGCAGGGGGGGTAGGAATGTTGTAGGCGCGTCCCAACCGAGGGCCTTAGATAGGCTGAAACCAAAGGAGGCTGTGGCCAAAATGATATTGTCCTAACGTAACACATTCACAATGAATTCTCTTGGGTTAAGCTAATTTGTTGCACGGCGTGTTGGTGTCTATCTAACTCTGCTGCTCCCCCAGGTTTTGGGCCTGTGACACTAGGTACTCGCCGTCCCTTTGCACGCTGTCCTCACACGTCTACCGCTTGTAATCAGTTTAATCAAAGTACGTAAGAAGAAATAAGAAAGCGGTTCAGAGGATTTAAGGATATGTGTGACGGTGAGGAGAACACATCTGGACGATTACGTCAGTACTTTCTAGGCAGGCGATGAGAGAGGCGCGCTGGTTCAGCTGGCCGTGTTGCCAAGCAACGGTAAACAATCCAACCCCCGGGGGCTTACGTTTGCTGTCGCTCTAATGTTGACCGATATTACAGTTAGTTTAGCATTAGAATCCTGTCAGAATCTCACCTGCGGTCCTCGCGGAAGAATAGACGTCGACCACTTCTGGAGCTTTGAGCTCTGTTTATTTGTCTCTCGCTGCAAAGCACTACAGCACCGAGCTGTTTTATCAAGTCAGTTTGGAATGTTTTTACATCTGCTTCCCCATGAGATCACGTGAGAGAGATCACATTTAGGTGGTGCATTCCTCCTGCTGGCACCATAATCCCAATAATCTTTTTTTTGGGGTATTTCTCAAATTGGTGTGCATGTTTGAGATTACAGAGAGGAACATCTGAGAACTTTCTGTGTGTGTGTGTGTGTGTGTGTGTGTGATACAACCTAATTTTGAAATTGGTTAGGATTTTACAAACTCCTGTGCTCTTAGCCTACTGAACCTGAAGAGGATGCATTATTATCTGTTAACAGAAGCATGCAAATAATTGGAACGCAAATGAGTTTTTGGTGTGAAAGCGGGGCTGTGAACCCGGTGATAAGTGCGCAAACTACTGACTCAGTCGCATGCTGAGCAGATGGAAAATTTCCTCTGGATCCGTGCTTGCGTTTGAGCAAAGTGTGCCTGGGGGCCTTTATTATGTGCGCATTGCCCTGGAGGTCTGGGGGGAGGGGGGAGTCAGACATTTATTTGTTTATTTCATATCCTCACTTATAACTGCAGCGGTAGAGGAGGCTGAAAAAAGGGGTTGTAGCAGTGGATTGAAAATGCAAAGCTTTCTTGCACGACTAAAATATCTATTTCACGTCATGCAACCTGGTGTCGAGCACATTGAGTCTTGGTTGTCCAATAGAATATTTGTCGGTGGTTTTGTTTCTGTTGTTTTAAATGCTGAAAATGAAAATATCTGTTCCTTGACAATAGTAGAGTGTTGATTTCACCTTCTCCTAGAAAATCTTGATTAAAACCCAGTTGGTAAGCAAAGTGTAACGAGACACCTTCCCCCAAGGTGGTTCTTTCCACAGTGTTTTACACGCTGGGAAAGTACTTTAAATATATATTGCATTTTGGCCTTGTAGGCTTTGGACTGCTTACTATTGTAAATAGTCAAAGTCTATGGGTTCATCTTCACTTGTTCGGTTGTACCCGAGAGGATCTCTCCTCACATCTTCTATCCACTTCTCTGATTATCAAACAAAAAAGTTATGTTTAAAGAAGAAGCTTTGAAAAACCCAAGGATTGTCCCCAAAATCTCAACCAGTCACAGCATCAAACCCAGGTTTGAACTAGCGTTGTGGTCTGTATCCATGGAGCAGGATTTCAATGATCTTTGTTTGCTGTTAGACGAGTGTACGCAGATACACTCGTCTCTTACCGCCACGGCTGGTGCGTCGCGTCCCTTCACAGCGCGGCACAATCCTCTGATTGTTGCCGGCAGATCCTTAACTTACAAGACGTGTGCATTGAAATGCTCTTTTGTGAACAAACTCCCCGATTGTGTATCCGTCTAACGTCAGTCTGTCTTCCTTCTTCCCCACAGGTACTGCTTCATAGTGACGCTCGGCTACCTGATACTATGCCAGATCACACGGGTCTACGTGTTTGACTACGGCATGTACTCTGCAGATTTCACAGGGTGAGGCACAGTGAGACCGCGGGTGCTAATTTGACTACAGGGTGCTGTAGGCGGAGCCTGCAAGCAGAAAGCAGTGGTCACCGGTTGGCGTTTCGGAGACTCCAAAAGAGAAACGCCATCGCGTCACACTGCCGGCGAGCGCGCGGGGGAGGCTTGTCGTCGATGGCGACCGCTGTGGCTGCTTCCCCACTGTGCCCGACCGTCTGACAATTGGAGCGGACAGCCTGCAGGGGGGGGAGGAAGGGGGGGAGGCTGGCTGGCTGCTAGGCAACCCCAATGCAATCACACAGTGCCACAGCAGGGACGGATATTCCCCCCTCTCTCAACGGCCTTATCTGCCATTCCTCTGTTCTCCCAAACATCAGTGTAACCCTTAAGGCGGAATGTGCTTTGTCCCACGGGACCAGATGCTCCTCTCGTTTGAAGAAGATACCGGAAAAAGCTTTGGCCTGTCGCTTTTTTTTTTTTTTGTCTCCGTTGCTTAACTTGATGCTTCTTTATTTCCAGAACTGATGGACAAAAAATGTTTTAACATGTAAAAGATGTTAAAGCTATGAGACCACACCTCACAATGTTCTTAATTAGGTCGAGAGGAAGAGGAATGAGCAGCGTAGGAGGGTGAATAGGGCCTACAGAACAGAGGAATAATACAAATAATAGCTGCAGGAAGTTAAAGTCTGCAGTTATTCTGTCATGGTCTTGCATCTAAAGCTAGTATGATTCCATTAAAGCTTGAATCTGTGCTAGTTTAACATGACCAAAAAATCAAACAAGCATTCAAACTAAAGTCTAAGCATTTAAAAATGTGTATCTGACCTGTTCTGACCTGCTTGTATGTGCTGCATTTGAAATTCTCAATATTAACACAACCGTTTTTTCCATTTCCTTCCCTCCGTCAGGCCCATGATGGTCATAACACAGAAGATCACCAGTTTGGCGTTTGAAATCCACGACGGTGAGACAGTCATTCCAGTGTCTGTGGTTCAGCTCTCTGTCCGCTCTCCAAACAGATCACATGGCCACCGTTTCCGAGCCTCTAGTCACTCCCGACAAAGGACGAGTGAAACAGTTATGTAATGGAGCGATGGCCGCGTATTCTCTCTCTGTCTCTCTCCCTTTGTCTCTTTCTGTCTGTGTTGTACAATTTAATGGTTGATTGAAACCCGCGCTGATCGGAACTGGTTGATACTAGATTGGAGGGTCCGCGCGGACGCTTGCCCAATTCTGCGCACGCACTTCCTTTGTGATCATCTGTCCTTTTGTCCCCGGAGCAAAAGGCTGTCCCGACGCAAACCTTTCATCCCTCCGCACCAATGTCGGTCATTTGCGACTACTGGGCTGCTTACAGTTCAACATTCAAATAAGCAGCGAACAAATAAACGTCGACACGGAGGGTAAAATAAACAAGTGCGCTTTAAGTACGGTAACACCGGAGGCTTAAGGAATGAGAGGATCGCGAGCGTCACTCACAGCGCTGCTTTTGAAGACATCGTCCTGCTCCTCAGAAACACGGTGCACAGTGCAGCTGCTTCACAAAATCCTCTTTTATTTATTTCACGGGCATCTGTGAGGGTTTTGACGGTGGCCTCGCGGCGAATCACAGCCTCGCCCCACGAGCCTTCCGCTCAAAGTAACACGTAACAACCCCCCGATGCCGAAGGCCGTTGCTCATTTACACGGATAAAACGTTTAGTTGTTAATCTTTTCTCTGTCTGTAGGTTTGGCCAAGCGAGAGGGCCAGCTGACCCCCAGTCAGAAATACCTCGCTATCAGGTATGTGACTCAGGTATGTTTTTGATGCTTCAGATGACGGGTTCGTTTGATTTAAGTTCACTCCCAAATGAGTAGCCACCCGTCTTGCAGGCCCCTCTTTGGTGCTTTGTTTGGCACATTCAGTATCTAGGAAACCACATTCACCTGGTGTGAACTGCGCTGTAGGATCCCTCTTCCTCAGTTACTATTGGAGATGATCGCACAGAAGAAACGGTGTAAAGAAAATGAAATAAGCAGGATTTGAGCGTGGAGTTTCTACTGTAAACTAACACTTTTAATGTGATGATAAAATAAGCGACAGAGCAGAGAGCTGGACTTTCATATTAAACATGTTCATATTGCAAATGTACATAAGAGTCTAAATCTGCGGCTGCCACTGGGAAGGGGAGGAATTAGCAGTAGAAACAGGAGCTCACGTCCAGACAGTTAGACGGCTCGCTTCACCCGGGAGATTAAATTCAAGCCTGAGCTTCAGAGTCAGGCGATGCACTGGGGCCCTCCTTCTCCTTGTGCACTGTTGGATGGAATAAACCACTGTGGAAGCCGTCCCTGCATATGGAATTTGGTCGGTTGTCCTATTGTGCTGCATTTTGAAGGGCCGGTGCGCTACATGAAAACTGCAGCTTCTAATCCCACTTTTCCCTCTAATGCAATTATTTTCTTCCCCCCCTGCGGCCGTTAAGGCGGATGCCCAGCTTGCTGGAGTACTTGAGCTACAACTGTAACTTCATGGGCATCCTGGCTGGGCCCACCTGCTCTTACAACGACTACATGGCCTTCATCGACGGGACGTGCTACCAGCCGCGCCACCAGGAGAACGCCAACGGCAAGGAGAACGGGAAGTACAAGCAGATCGAACCCTCGTCCAAGGTACGTGACACGGTGCGGTGTGGGGGGGACAAATGGAAAACATTCTGAAAGGCTTTGAATCCTCAAAGAAAGTAGCTGGGTGGTTGGGATGTTACAGAGGAGGAGGTGCAGGCTAATCACAACGTGTTTGGTTCCCTTTTAGAGAAATCAAATTTAATGACGTTGTAGTTGCACAATGCAATAATGATTTGAGTGTGTATTCATCTCGGAAGATAAAGGAAGCAGACTTTGTTGGATCTAAAACACAAGAGGACGACCTTGAATCAACTTAACTCATATCTCCTAGTTTGGTTACTGTAGTTAAAAAAATAAAATTATATATATATATATATGTATATGTGTAACTGATTTTAAGCTTCTTTGTCTTCTTCACTCTCTCTTTCTCACCTTCGTCCCAGAATGACGTCATCTCCAAGCTGTGCACGTGTGCCGTCTCGCTGGGCATCTACCTGTCGCTGTGCAAGCTGCTCCCGGTGGAGCACTCCATAAACGACGACTTTGTCAGCTCCACGCCCTTCCATCTTCAGGTCATCTACCTTTACCTGGCCATGCTGGCCCTGAGGCCAAAGTACTACTTTGTCTGGACACTTGGTGAGTTTCGTCTCTCCCATTCTATTTTAGAAGATTTCAGGGGAATATTGTTAATAATAATCTCTTGCTTTATGTCCTCTGATTGCTTGACTCTCAATAGAGGACTAAAACTGCTATACTACACGCTTATGTTTTGTTCGATGTTGAGATACGGCATGAAAACAGCCCAACACTGCCATCTAGTGCTGAGTCGGAAACATTAGCCCTCCATTCTTACCAATGACAGAAACGCATGACGCCAGATCTCCATCTGTTTGTGTCGTTGCTTCACAAAGCAATGTGTTGAAAGGATACGGAGCTGTTGTGTTGTCCTCATCGTCTCTGTTACATCCTTTCTCCCCCCAGCTGATGCCATCAACAACGCTGCCGGATTTGGCTTCAATGGATACAACAAAGATGGCTCCCCACGGTGGGACCTGATATCAAATCTCAGAATTCTGGACATTGAGGTTTGGCTCCTTTTTTTTTAAACTCACACAAAGTCCCATCTAAAGCTTAAAGTGTGCTGTTTTGGGTCCCGTTTCAGTTTGCCACCAGTTTCAAGATGTTCCTGGACAACTGGAACATCCAGACGGCTCTTTGGCTCAAAAGGTAAAAAGATCCATTTTGCAGTCATTTGATGTCCACAACTCAAAGCTCTGTTTTTCCCTAAATGGTTCCTCCCATAACCCCACAGGGTGTGCTATGAGCGCTGTCACATTAACCCCATGGCTGCCACCTTCCTGCTGTCGGCCATGTGGCACGGCGTGTATCCTGGTTACTACCTGACCTTCCTCACTGGCATTGCGATGACGATGGCTGCGCGCGCAGTGAGTACATACGCACACACACACACGTCGTGTGTTTTTTTTTTTGTCTACGCGGTAGCTGCCGTTTTTTTTTCCTGGATGCAAATCCTGATTCCGGGGTGGTTGACGTTTTGTCAGAGAGCTCTTTTTATATTTACCGCTGTTGATTAGCAGAACCACAAACACACACCTTGGTTAGTTTGTGTAGAGTAAAGGAATAATGATAGTATTATATTATAGTATCATACCTCATGTTGAAGTCTGAGGCCATTACCACTAATCTGTGCTAATCCAGACCTCTTCACTCTAGTCTTGTGAAAGTAGGAGGATATTTATATAGAGACAGCGGAGTGGAGGAAACGCACCGTAATTTTTATGAAGTAACATAGATGTAAAATGTCAAATGAAAGGGATGCAAGTTTTCCGTTTAATGGTCATTGGCTTAAAAAGGATGTCGGCAAAGTGTCTCTTTATGTTTTTCCTTCTCTCCCAGGTAAGACATAACATCAGGCCGTACTTCCTGGTCTCCGACTCGCACAAGCGCATCTATGACGTTGTCACGTGGGCGGGGACTCAGGTTGCCATTAGCTACACAGTGGCGCCATTTGTCCTGCTCGCTGTGGGACGCTCACTCAAATTCTACAGGTTTGTGTGTTTGATTGAATAGTGTGTTGGTAGTAATGAAACTCATCCCCTGACTGTGACTTATAGTGGGGGCATGAAACAAGGCTGTAAATTGCACCACCTATACGAATTTGCACCACCTTTTAAAAATCCAAAGGCGCATTTCATCCATTAGTGGTTAAGATACGGTCTGGGCCAAAGGGACGAGTGACGTAAGGTTTCATCTGGTGTTGTGTTTGCATCATTCCTGACGATAAACGGTGATGAGATTTTTCTCCCTGTGGGATGTTGCTGCAGGTCCTGGTACTTCTGCCTACATCTCCTCTGCCTGCTGGTGGTGGTGGCCCTGCCCGTCAAATCGAGACGCCAGCAGGCCAAAGAGCCGCGGGACGGCCTCAAGGACAACCGGACGGAGCTCGACAGCACGGACAACAACTGCAACCAAAAAGACAAGGCCACATGAGGCTCTGGACAGCGACACACAAAGTCCCTTCAGCGTCAGGAACACTCGAGACAAGCTAAAAACCACGGAGAGCTGGAGACGCGGCGAGTCTTATTCACCCGACAGAGAACCAAATATCGGATGCTCCGAGAATTCTAACCGACAGAAAAACACGAGTCGACTTTCTGTCAAAACTTCCAGTAGCAGGGATGACAGCAATCACAGTTTCCGACGCGGATAAGAGACCAGGGTGTAACAACGGCCATAGTGTAAACAAACAAACAAACAAACAAACAAACAGACGAGCGATGGTGGTTACTTTCCATTGCAGCGGTGGAGAACGAAGACTTCCAAGCTGCCTTAAACCCTCCACGTACTCGGCGGGTGAAATGACAGACGGACGGCACGCTGCGAGAAGCTATTTGCGGTGTCAGATGAGACGCGCAGTAGGTGGAGGGTTTTTGTCATTTGTCTGGATACAGACTTCTGTTTTAGGTGGGAGTGGAAAATGGTTTCATGTAAAAGAAACATTACTTTGTCATCAGCTGCCAATTTCAAACAAGCCTTAGGATCCTCAAAACGTTGTTTGATTTCTATGTCTTTTTAAAAATCTTTATCGGAGAAGACTTCACATTGTACGTGTTTTGTATTTAGATGTTTGTGACAACACTATTTCAGATCCATTTCCACTGCTTTATTATTTTTTTTCTGGGATGAACTGAATGACATAAGTAATCCCAAAGATTAGTTCAGATCTCGTCCATCTCCAGCAGTGAAATGTCTAAAAGAGGCACTCAAGAGTTACTAAATGGATTTCATATCTGCTGCTTTTTTGACCAACACGACTCGTCAGTCAAACGTGTTTTTTTTAAAGGGACTTCATTTACACTGTTGTGATTTCAATTTATTTCCTTAAGGATTTCTGACCTGGTTTCAGGTGTGTGGTTTGTTTGTTGTTTGACCTTTTTGTTCAAATGTCGTGCCTCTGTAATACAAGTATCCAAAACGATTTAATGCAAGTCCAAATTGGGTAAATGCAGTGGATTGTTAACATCCCTGTGGAACTCACTGTTGCAAAGTATTTTTCATTGTCTTAACTCCTACAAATCTAGTCATATTGCCATCCCCCCCCCTAAAGGTCACACGGTTAAATGGAATGTTAAAGAAAAAGTTTCCAAATTAATGCACAGTGCACTAAAAGCTCATTGTAGTCAGGCTGCAAAATATTTAAGTGGAATTTTGTAATTTATTTGGTTATTTATGTATGCAAAATAATGATAATGTGAAGAAATTCACCGACCTAGACCAGCCGTTGTGGTGAATGGTCTTAGTTCATATTGTGTGCACTTCTGTTTGAATAGGGGATATTTCAGGGTGCATTTATTGTAGGGGGGGAGGCACTGGTTCCACGCGGGTTTTTGGTTCACGGCCTTAAGTCTTTCAAATCACCCACTTTACTCTTTATAACACGCAGCAGTTCGAACAGCCACCCATGGGATTAAGTATCATTACACCTTTCTTTAATTTTATTGAAGGAAATGCAAAGGAAACCACCTGAAAGGCCCCCCACTGTTATCTGTTATCTGTTGTCAGGGCAATTCAAACCCACAATATCATAAACACTTTTGTCGTACATTTTGATTTCATCCAATCGTCATTAATTTGAGTTGGTTTGGTGCGTTTCTGTTACATAAAATAATAACAAAGGGGCTGAGTGAAGCTTTTTGTCCATTCATTTTTAATATTTTCTAACATTTGCATATTCCTGCCATAAGTAAGTAAGTAAGTGTGTGTGTGTGTGTGTGTGTGTGTACCAGTATTCCTATGATCTGAACATGTCAGCGTGGTCTCATGTAAAGTATATTTGTAGCCAGGGCCTCGTATAGGCCAGTATGGCCCACCGAAGGGAAACGGATGTCATTCTACAAACAGAGCGATTATTGCACTGCATGGCCGACCAAACCAGCAGATCAATGCAAACGGCTCCACGTGTCCAAAGTGCCAAACCATGAGTGGCGCATCTTTAGAGTGTGTGTGCAAACCATGAGTGGCGCATCTTTAGAGTGTGTGTGTGTGTGTGTGTGTGTGTGTGTGTGTGTGCGTGTGCGCGCAAATGTGTCCATGGTGTGTGTGCCCGCGCGCCTGTGTAACATAACGGTTATTTTTCTGTCAGAAGGAAATTTATTGAAATATTTGTATAACAGTCCATTAAAATCCTGATTTATGTCGCAAAATAAAGAGAAATTATTTTTAAACACTAAAACTGACGATTCAAAATGTTATATTTTTTTCCAATAATGAAGATAAATATATTTTTTATTTTTTTACCCACGGAATGGCCATGCAGCAAAGGAAATATCCAAACAACACACTATATTGTTGTGTTATGGCTTTGCAATTGTATTTTATTATCATAGTGTATTTTTATTTGTTTTATCAGGAAAACCAAGGTAAAACTAATTTGGAAATAATGGAAATAGTTTTTAATTAATGTTATGCAGACGTTATGCATTTATTAATTATACCTTTGTTTTTTTTGCTGTTATAACATTTTCCTCTAATACTACTTTGATGCTGAAGAGTGCCTAACCACTGGAAATTGTTGCACATTGCCTTATCCACAAAGCCCGTCTTGACATGTTACAGTTGAAAAGCACAAATGTAAATGTTCAAAGGAATAAATTCTGTATTCCATTAGCCACTTCAGCTTCCCACTGGACACAATATAAGTAACACTTGTGCAGCCACTAGTCAAAACAGCTGTTGTGAAAATGACCTCTGCTGCCAAATGTTATGAAACTGTTCGTTTAATGTGCCGACACATTAAAAATTCCTTCCTACCACTATAAAAATGTTCCACTACGTCATTGTCAAGCTCATGCAGACATTTGGCTCACCTAAAGACTGGGAGAAAACTTTTTTTATTGTTTCATGAGTAAATTGAGTAGAGAACAGGACAATCGGTAGTGGAGGAAGTAATCAGATCTCTATCACGAGTAAAGGTTCTGGAGAAGTCTTGTTAGAAATATTTCCTTGAACTATCAGAATCATTGATTTTGCAGAGGAAGTCACCCCATGGGGGTGTTGTTTTACCGTTCACGTTTTATTAGTTTATGCCACAAGCAGCATTTTATTGTTGTAACTTGTTGAGCTAAAGCACATTTTAACTGTTTTAAAGGCTGCTTTATGTACAAGAAAGCAATGCACAGCATTGTATTTGGCCATTATAAGATCTTGAAATGTGAGTCTGCAAAGCTGTTAAAAAGTACAAAAACGTTCTACAACAATGGTTAAGAAATTTAAAATTGTTGCCAACAGTTCCGCAGTTCTTGTTCTAACGGGTCATGTGATCAAACAGTGGGCGGGGGTGTGATCAAACAGTGGGTGGGGGTTCCCGGCTCCTTCTGCTCCACCACGTGTGACGTCTCTGTAACTCGGGGCAGAAGGGGGCGGAGCTTCTCACTTCTGACTAAATGAAATGTTTTGAACGCTGTTTCTGACGAAGTTCTCCGCGCAGGAATAATTAAAAAAAAAACCAACAACCTTACACAGCAGCCCAGACTAGGTAAGATAACGGCATGTTCATTGTACCCCCGGCCCTCCTTCCTCGTAGCCCCCTTACAAGGGGTAAAAGTGTGAGGACCTGTTGGAGAGCTAGCCACTCTGAGCTAACTTAACGTTAGCCTTTAGCCGTTGTCAGTTCGGCCAGCGAGTGTTGTAACGTTAGCTGCTGCCTCGCAGCGAAAGTCAGTCCGTCAAATACACACCACTTGATGCTAAACCGAAGTAGATGAATACTCAACTCTTAGTTTCTAGTCGTATTTGACGCCATGCATGCACTATTTCTATCCGTTTACGCGCGCGCGTCTTATACAGATGTTTGCTTTCTTGACAGGCTGCCGCTGTTGCTTCATATCTGCTCTTTACTCTTGCAGGCGCACCACATACTCGTAGGAACTCATCAACACTTATGTTGTAACTATGTTGTAACCAGGGATTAGTTCCAAGCAGAAGGTTTTCCTCAGTTAAGTAACCAGACACCCTTTCAGAGTAAAACCCACAACTGGCCTAAAGTCTCGGCCTCGGGGCTGATGGGAAAAGCAGATGCTGTGACAGGGAACTGAACCCTCAGCAGTTTCATGCCCACATGACACGCATTTAAAAGCTGACTGGTTAAATTTAGAGATCGTATCCAGTGTTGCCTCCCAGGTTCCTGTTGATCTGTGTTCACAGCCGACGAGGAGTCTTGATGACCATATCAACGTGTGTTTTTACACAAATACTGAAACAATAGATGACCTGAAAGTGGCTGTGTTTACATTGTGATAAAAATAATATGTCAATACCAAAATATCATCTGGGATTTTGGTTGCCGTAGATTTGTGTTTTTCTGATGTGAATATTGTTTGCATCTACTTCATAACCAATTTCCTCATTTTAAATGTCTTCCTGTGTTCCTTATCTTATTATAGAGCTGATATTTTCGTCACTATCTTCTGATGTTTTATAGTCCAAGTATCAAGTAATTTAGAAATCATCATATAAGTATGTAATTAAAAGAGTTATTTTCAGACCCACTATATATAAAATATATATGTATATATATCTCATACATTGTAATTTAGATTTGATCAATATTGACCATCCCCAGTGTTTCAGAATTAGTCCAAAATGTTGTCTATTCAATGTTTTATACAATTCAAGCCAACATCATCTTCTCCGTCTCCCTTCATCTGTAGGATTTGGTACTGAGCCAGTTCCTGTAATGAATGGAAACCTGATCACGTGTGCCTATTGTGTTGGAAAAAGATGGGCGTTGGCCAGCCTCCTCATCTAATATTCAGCCTTGAGTGAAGGGGGATGCTCAGCGTCAGCCCGGCACTGCTTGTTGATTCTGTTTTGGAGTGAAGATTGGTGCTGTTGACTGGTCGAATAAAAATAAGCCTCGCTCTACACTAAGGTAAGGGGTTTGTTTGTTGATCCTTTTTTTTTAGTGTTTAAATATTTTCAAGCAGCTTTAATTTAATAATTTGTTTTAATAGCTTTCACTATTGGTTTTGCTGTTTTTGGCTAAACTGTTTTTATGGGCCTGTTTTAAGTTAAAAGGACCTGTGTTCGCTCCCATCTGATCGCTGCCCAGCAGAGAGCGAGCTAAATGTTTACTGATTGGTTCTTTGGTGGCATTATCGTCCACCCATTGTGCCGAGAGACGAGGGCGTGTCAACAGGCCCATGTATCCTTCAAGTAAACAAAGGATTTCTTTAGTCATTTTCCTAGGAAGACGGCAGGTCACCCCCCCAAATGAAGAAACGGGGCTGGATTTTAGAATAAATAAAGAATATGTAGACATTCATGGGCCGGCTGCTCTGTATTGACTTCATCGATATGAGCCTTTTGTGCTGACAGCCCAACCGGCATGTGACATTTAAGGGTTTATTGACCTGAGCTGCTTGTCTCCCAGATTATGTGGAAGTATTGAGCAGCATGCTTGCTAATCTTTACGTGAAACCCATTACCAAGGCAACCTGCAAGCAGTGAGTGAATGCAACTGATAAATTCTGTGTTTCCCCGGCAGGAAGTGGGTCTGACCATGATGAAAGAGCCCAACTTTATGAATGATTAATGAGTCTTTTATTCATTGGCTAAATCTCTTCTGCAGCTAAAACATCAATGTTTTAGGCTTGTCTTTTTTAAAAGGTATAATTCTACAATAATGTCTGGGAAGCTTAGATATTTCACAATATGTTATTATATTCTTGTCAGTGCCTGAAGCTTCTAGAAATGATCATGTGAGAGGACTGCTGTTTAACTTCAGGGTAAAAATTGTAAAACATGACTGATGACACTAATAATGTGTTTCACTAAAGAGGGGAACGTGCTGGCCCATTTCAAGGGTTTGAAATAATTCTTCAGAAGGGTGGAGCCTTATTGTAGATAATCTCTGCCCGGCAGAGTTCACCAAAATCCCTTTCAAGCCAGTAGAGGAGGGTAGAACTGAGGTCCGTCCTGAAATAATTGGATCGCACGGTCGAGTGCACCAATTGTCCACATGATCGCTGCAATCAAAGGTTCAAAGTTCGGAGACTGTTCTTTGTCTTCGGTGGTATTTGACGACTCGGCGGACGTCCCGGATTGGAGCCTTGTTGTTGGCTGGCCGTCGTTATACGAAGCAGACAGTTGCCGTTTTCAGCATGAGCAGTTCAGACTGAACTCAAGGGAGCCTCGTTAGCATTTGTGTAACAAGCGCGTCTAACGGATCAAACGGACTCATCTCACATTGTCCTAGAGGCTGACGTGTACATTTGTGGAAATGTATGTGAATGTCGGTAAACGTGGTTACAAATGGTTTCTGACAGTCTGCCTTTACTTTTAAAAGTTAAATATAAATGGATTATTGCATGGAAACCATGCACATGCAAATACTGGCCAGCATGCTATGAAACTTTAAACTACGCTGGTTATAATAAGACAAGGTTTATGCAGCAGAATGTGATCCTCTTTTCTGATTGTATCTTGTGCAGAGTGTAGGATAAAGAGCTCTCCTCTATGTTCTTCTAATGTGCATGGCTGAGTGTGTGTGTGTGTGTACCGGGTTTGCACTGTCCTTGTTTGTTGCCTAGCATCACTTCAAAGATGCACCACACCCACTTCCTTGCTTCGACGTCCCCGCTGCTCTTTCCGTGGTGCTGCACGATAGATACCTTTTTAGTCTCTTCAGCCTTCTTTCTGTGAATGCTAATCTGTTTTCCTCTTGCTCTGCAGGGGTGGACAGGCGGTTAGCTGTCAGCCATGGATACCCCCACCTCTCTGAAGATGACCAATCTGGCCATCCAGAGCCTTTTCAGCTACGTGGAGGAGGAGAACCTGGCCGCCATCAAAGCACATTTGGAAAAGTTCAAAGACGTGGATAGCCGGAGTGACGTAAGTCAGGCACATCACAGCAGAGGTCTGGTTGGGCTTGACTGGTTGGTTTTGGGGAAACTAGAATCTGTTGTGAAGCTTGAGTGAAACAATCCCGAAAAAAGCAGGAAGACACGGTAGTTGAGGTTGCTTTTGGTTTATGTATCATATATAATGCCCGTAGGGAGTATTTAACCTCCCATTTCATAAATGACATTAAACTTTGTTGAAACAACAATAAAAACTAGTTTGAGATAATGTTAAAAGATCAAAACATATAAGTTGGATAACTACTTTTTGTCTGCACTAGGAACTCCTAATGAACCTGTAGCTGGTTATTCTGTGCGATAAACCCCCATTGTT